TTCTTTTGATGATGGGAGTGAAGCATTAGATACAAAAACCACAGTGTTCAGTGGAGCAGAAACTGTTACCGTGCAGCATGTTATTATAATCAAGTCTTCATTAAACCAGCGTGAGGAGGACAGATAAGGGCAAAGGTGTATGAAAAAGATGCCATAGCAAAACCCATCGCTTGGCAGGTTAAATTTTAAAACTAATTTTTAAGAAGATTTTCTTAAACTTTATTAAATAAACTTACTAATTCATAATATTAAAGAAGCATTTGATAGGAAAGACAGTCAATCACCCATCTCATCTGTCTAAACATACTGTTCATTTTTGCATATTTTCCCATGTACTGCAGGCTTGTGATCCTTCCCTGGGTGTGATTAGGACTCTGGGGCAGGGGAGGTATTTCCACTTCACATTGCACGGCAAACGTAAATCTTGTACTAATGGGCTTTTGTGCTGAAGGTATGAGACTAGAGTGAACAGGTTGCCCGTTGGATATGATTATTTTGTAATTACACCTCTCCTTTGAAGTAGTTACACTGGATAATTACAACGTATTGAATGTTTTTCAACTTCACTGTGCTACACTTACCTCTCTGTTCTCATTTGAGATGTGTTTTAGTCTATTAAAAAAAAAAAAACTATATAGTAGGAAATCCAGTTTCCCAAGGTAGTCAGAACTGTTGATGTGTCCAGAGGCCTCAAAAAAAAAAAAAAAAAAGCAGCTTATACCTCCTTTTTCTTTTCCTTCCCCTGCCCCCCCCCCATGCCTCCTTTCTTCCCCAAGGCTAGTCCCAAGTATCACCAGCTGGCCTCAGCATCACTCTGTAGCTGAGGACAGCTTTAAACCTCTCGTCCTCCTGCCCCCATATCCTGATTGCTGGGATGATGGGTAGTGCATCACCAGGCCCTGTTTATTTCATGTTGTGAATGGAGCCCAGAACTTCCTGCGTGCTGGTGCTAAGCGAACACTCTACCAACTCAGCTACCCCCTGAGCCCCACTTTCTGCTTTTTCACTGGGGAAAGCCAGGGCAGGACCCCAAGGCAGGAGCTGAAGCAGAGTCCGTAGAGGAGTGCTGCTTATGGCTTGCTCCCCGTGGTTTGCTCAGCCTGCTTTCTTAGACAACTGGGGACCACTTGTCCAGGGGTGGTACCCCTCACAGCGGGCTGGTCCTTCCCACATCAATCTTTAATCAAGAAAACACTCTACAGACCTGCACACAAGCAAGATGATGAAGGCATTTTCTCAACTGAGGTTTCTCTTCTCAGATAACTCTGACTTCTGTCCGGTTGGGGGAAAATAGTCATAAAAAGAATACCTGGTTTGCTCAGTAGACCTGCTCAATATAAAACCGTTCTAGATGGTCTGCCAGGACAGAAGCCTAAGTCTCACCCTGTCTTCTGGTTTCTTAAAATCTTGCTCCTATGGCAAACACACATCATACAGCAGTAAAAGTAACAGCAGCACTCTAGTTCATCTGCGAGGTAAGTCTTTGATTGCACCAATTAAAACCACTTGCAATGGTACAAGTACTAACCTAGTCAGTACTCAGTGGCAGTTCAGCTCATTAAAACCAGCCCTAGAAACTATATTCAAGGGGCTTGAGAGGTGGCTCATCCATTATGAGTACTGGCTGATCTGTTTCAGAGGACCCCAAGTTGGTTCCCAAGCACCCACATGGTGCTTACAACCGTTTATAACTCCAGTTCCGGGTGATCCAACACACCCTCTTATGACCTCCGCTGGCATTGCATGGATACAGTGCACAGACATACATTCAGACAAAACACCCAGTTACGTTAAATAAATAAATAGATCGTAGAGATTGTATGTACTCTAGTCACGGGGAGGGTAGTGTAGCATGTTAATCAGCTTCCCCAAGAAATGTTTATTTAGACTCAGAATGTTTATTTTGACTAAAAGAGGTTTTAGTCCATCACTGGTGGATGCTGTCACTTGGACCTGTGGCAAATCAGGTAATAGAGCATCCACTCATCTCCTGACACCAAAAGGGGCAGATCCCCAAGATCGCCTTCAAGGGCTCATCACATGGCCTCCCTTTGCTAGCCACCATCTCTTGTAGGGCTGCCAGTAGCTCGACAGGCTGGCGACATACGCCTTTGAAGAAACATTTAAGACCCGAGTCATAATATGTGGACTTGCATGCCGTTTGTGTTTGGGTATGGGATGGGTAAAACGGTCCAGGAGTATTGTGAGGATTCACGGAAAGAGAAGGGCACAGTAAAGAACATGACAGTTCTGAGGAAACAAGGTTTCCTTCAGAGAGAGGAACACGGCACTTCCTTGACCTTTGTCTCTGAAATGTCTCGTCTTATCTCTGTTATCTATTGGTGAAATTATTAAGGCCACTCTACATAGTTAAAAGGAAGATTTATTTAGTGGGTAACTTACAAATTAAGGGATAGGTAGGTCGCGGGGTCTGGGGAAGGTGTATCACAATCTAGCCGTGTTCTCTGGAGCTCTGCTAGGTCCACCTCCACTGTTCAGGGTCCCGGCACAGAGAGAGCACTGGCCCATCCAGATCTCGGGTCTCCAGGTGCCTCCCCTGTCCCCGCCTCATAGGCATGACAGTTGCCAGAGTCTCAATGGGGGTTGAAACTTCCACATCCAAGCTCAAATGGCTACCCACTACAGTTATCAGTAAATGCTATCTGGTCAACAGAAAATAAATACAATGAGCTAAGTTTGTCAAGAGTCTTTTAAAATTTGTTATTGTGTGTGCATGGTAGAGGAGAGACGGGTGTGTGGAGGACAACTATGGGGAGTGGATTCCCTCATTCCACTCTTCCATGGGTAGTGGGGATCAGACTCAAGTTGCCAGACTTACTTGGAGAGGACCTTTACCCACTGAGCAACTTCTTCGGCCACAAAATAATTTTTATGTATTTATTTACTTGAGAGAGCGTTTCATTATGTAGCCCTGACTGTCCTGGAACTCGCTCTGTCAACCAGGCTGGTCACAAACTCACAGAGATCCACCACATCCAGCTCCAAAACTAATTTTTAAATGTGTGAAGTCCACTTATTTTAAAGGGGAAATGAACTTGAAACATTCCTCTTTTTTTTTTAAGATATACTTCTTCTTTTATGGGAGAGTGCTACTCTCCCCTACCATGTGCACACTTGATACCCAAGGAGGTCAGAAGAGGGTATCAGATCCCCTGCAATTGGAATTACAGATGATATACTGTGTGGGTGCTGGGAATTGAACCTGGGTCCTCTACAAGAGCACTGAGTACTCATAGCCACTGGGCTTTCTCTCCAGCCCCAACTTTAAATGTTCTTACACAATTCAAAACATATGGTAGAAATACAAAACTTACCTAGGGAGTGGAAACAGCGTGTGATTTGACATAGTAGGGTATCAGTACCCTAGAGTACTGAATCTCGACTTGTGAATTGAAGGGCTGTTTCTTCAGGGTAAAATACAAGCGAAAAGAAACGCCCCAATGTTTGTAACACCTTTAACTTTGAAGTTTAGAGATGAACCGTGATGGGTGAGTTTCCATGGTAATGTTATAAGTAGAGGCAATCATAAATTCATATGTGTGAGAAGAAATAATCAGTGTAAACGCCTTGAGACAAGTATTTTTAGTCTAGCTATAAATAAAACAATGAATCATCCGTATGCTATGCAGATTTAAAGTGGGTAAATTTAGAATTTTTTTTTTCTCTTTACAAAGCTTCATAGTTTAGGGAAGTATATCTTTAAAGTTCAGATAAATGTCCCCGTGAAAGCTGTGTGGTGACGGAAACTGTTGAATGCTGTGTGTGTGGTGGGAATGCTCTCTGTACTGGCCGACATGGGCAGTTTCCACTGCGGACATGGACATCTTAGATGTGGCCAGTGAAAGTAAGGAGCTTCATTTTCAGCCCGGTGGTGGTGGTGGTGGTGGTGGTGGTGGTGGTGGTGGTGGTGGTGGTGGTGGTGGTGGTGGTGGTGGTGGTACATGCCTTTAATCCCTCGGGAAGCAGAGGCAGGCAGATCTCTATGAGTTCAAGGACAGCCAGGGCTACCCAGAGAAACCCTGTCTCAGAAAAACAAACAAACAAGCAAACAAAGCTGTGTTTTCCTTTTCATTAATTTGCATTTAAATATTTGCTCATGTCTGTCATGTTGTTAAGACAATAGGAGCTGGAGAGCCAGCTCAGTGGTTAGGGGTGTTCATTGCTCTTGCAGAGGACCTGGTTGACTTCTGCCTCCCACAGGGTGCCTCATTGCCTCTACCTCCAGTCCCAGGGGATCAGACAGCCTCTTCTGGCCTCCGAGGGCACTGCACCCCTGCAGTACACATATATATGTGCGGGCACCAGCTCATACACATAAAGTAAAAATGAATCAACCTTTTATAAAGACAAAATGAAATATGCTGTGGTGAACATATCTTGCCGGGTTATTCATTGTCTGAAGATCGTTTCTGATCCAAAATTATTTGGCTCCTAACTTTTTCCTACCTAGTTCTAGTTAGAGCTATTAACTACTCCTGACTTAGGCTTGTTTTAAAACACTGTCTTTCCTTGAAGAGCTTCTCTACGTCATAAATGTTAAGCCCCAACAGGCTAGTTTTACTGTTACTAACCCAGAATACTGAACCACAGCTCAGAATTATGGATGCTATTTTCTCTGAAGATAATCTCATTATACTAAAAAATAAAAAATAAAAACACGTCTTAAAGTTTAGTATAATGCTGAAATGCTTGGAATAAAATGTGTTGATGTAATGACATACTTTGAAATGCATAAAAAAGGAAAATGGATTAATGTTGATACAGATGTCATAAAGCAGCTATAAACAGTGTGCGGTATTTGTGGTAGACGTCGGCCTCTCTAGACGCTTTTTTATCACAAGATGTGCAGGGATGTTATTTGTATGACAAATTGTTTCATAATAAAATGCCCTAACATGTTGCATGACAAATATAAGAATATTAAGTATTTGAAAGTATCTTTTCCCCCCCTCGGGTCTTACCACGTCTCCGTTAAACAGAGCCAAGGAGCCATAACGGAGCGTTTGCGAAGTTTCAGCATGCATGATTTGACGGCTATCCAAGGGGATGAGCCTGTGGGACAGAGACCCTACCAGACTTTGCCAGAAGCGAAGAGGAAGAGCAAACCAGCCAGTGAAACAGCAGGTATGCTCATTCACTGTACTCTACAGGAGCCCCTCATAAGTGGGCTTGGGGGCGGGCCGGGACAGTCCGGGGGCGAGGCGGGGCGGGGCGGGGCGGGCCGGGGCGGGGACTTCATAATACATGGTACCAGACACAGAACTCACCTGGCTATTGATAGCGTTACTGTCGAGACAGAGTCTCATGTAGCCTATGCTGGCCTCAGACTTTCTATATAAGTGGGGCTGTCTTCAACCTCTTGATTCTCCTGCCTCTGCCTCCCCAGAGCTAGGACTACAGGTGTAAGCGACCACACCCAGCAAAATTTACTTATTTTAAGCCTATATTTCGGAGCTTCTTATTTGGTGTGTTGTCTTTCCGTTTTCCAGACAGGGTGTCACAGCCCAGGCTTGCTGAGGATGGCCATGAACGTGCTGGTCCTCTTGCATCTAACCTCCCAAGTATCATGCCCGGGGGTGCGGCACCACACCTGGTATGATGCAGTCCTGGGGATAAAACCCCAGGGATTTGTACAAGCACTCTCCCAAGCTGAACTACATCCCCAAGCTATAGCGCCTTCTTTCCAAATTTTCTCTAACTCAGACGGCTACCTGCCTTTTGCTGCCCACAGAAATCATGAAGCTACCCGGGCATGGTGGTGCACGCTTTTAATCCCAGCACTGCAGAGACAGAGGCAGGTGGATCTCTGTGAGCTTGAGTCCAGTCTGGTCTACATAGCAAGTTCCAGGACAGCCAAGGGTACACAGAGAAACCCTGAAAAAAAAAAAAAAAAAAAAAAAAAGGAAGGAAGGAAGGAAGGTAGATAGATAGGTCATGCAGCTAAAAGCAGAGCTGTGGCCTCTCGGGCATCTGGGAGTTTATAGGAGCTGTGGACATGGTTCAGAGCTTGCCCCTGCTTTAGTTCTGACTGGTCACCAGCACTCTCTGTTCGAACCGTCAGTTGACATCTGCGGAGTCTCATGGGTAAGCACTCTGTAAGTTCTGTGAACAAGTAAGGACATTGACTCACAGGTGAGAAGGCTGAAGCACATGACCAATGCTGACTCAAAACCGAAATGAAATCAGTCCAGCGGGAAATGTGTTGAGATCGCACACTCTAATTCAAGAGCGAGCTTGCAGGCATCTTCTGCAGAAGCGATGAGCCTGTCACGGTGGCCGTGTCTTGGGCCTTGCTTGATTGAACTGGTGTGGTCTTGGAAGCCAGCACATAAACAAGCAGCGTGTCTTCATCCTGTGTCACATCTGCAGCAATCTTCTTTTTTTGTTTGTTTGTTTGTTTTTCGAGACAGGGTTTCTCTGTGTAGCTTTGCACCTTTCCTGGGACTCACTTGGTAGTCCAGGCTGGCCTCGAACTCACAGAGATCTGCCTGGCTCTGCCTCCCAAGTGCTGGGATTAAAGGCGTGCACCACCACTGCCCGGCCGCAATCTTCATTCTTATCCAGGCTGAAAACTCAGATGCTGAGGACATTCTTTTTTTTTTTTTTAATTTTAATATTTTTATGTGCATTGCTGAGTAGCCCGCATGCATGTCTGTGTGAGGGTGTCAGATCCCCTGGAACTGGAGATCCAGACAGTTGTGAGCTGCCATGTGGGTGCTGGGAATTGATCTCGGGTCCTCTGGAGGACATTCTTCATTATAAAGTATTAATCGTTCTTTCAAAAACTGCGTTCTCTTGAGAGGGAGGCTGAAATTCATCACGTTATAATAGCTCAAGCTCATTTTTAAGATAAAATGACAGCCTCTCCTTTTTTTTCTTTCTTTCTTTTTGAAAGACCAAGTTTTGTAGTGTAGCCCAGGCTGGCCTTGAACCCTTGGCAATTCTCCTGCCGCAGCTTCCCAAATGTTAGCTTCCACACCTTAGCCATTGCTCCTCTTCAAAAAGTAAAGGCTGGGGCTGGAGAGCTGACTCACGGGTTGAAAGGCACACTGCTCTTGAAAAGAACCCGAGTTCAGTTCCCAGCATTTCTTCACAGCTGCCTTAACTCCAACTCCTCTGCCCTCCATGGATACCCGAACTTCATGCACATATATGTATATACCCATACACAGATTATGTATGTATGTATATACATACATGTAATTAAAAATAATAAAAGTAAATCTTCCACCTTCTCCCAAAAATGAATACACTTAAAATGGTGGCGAGTGTCTGAAAGGTTATACTCAAGCTAACCATTGGTTAAGTAGTGCTTTTAAGAATGAAGACCTGAGGCTGGGCTGTGGCTCAGTTAGTAGAGTGCTCCACTAACATACAGAAAGCCCTGGGTTCCATCCCCAGCAGTTCATAAACAGAGCTTGGTGGTGCACACCTGTAACCCAAGCACTCAGATTTGGAAAGAGGTGGGAACAGGAAAGATCAGAAATTCAAGGCCGACCTCAACTACCTAGCAGTGTTTGGCCAGCCTGGGCTACATGAGACCTGTGTCAAAACAGAGAGAGAGGGGGGGGGAGGGAGAGGGAGAGGGGGAGGGGGAGAGGGAGAGAAAGAGAGAGAGAGAGAGAGAGAGAGAGAGAGAGAGAGAGAGAGAGAGAGAGAGAGAGAGAGAGAGAGAGAGAGAGACCAACCATACAGGAAGGAAAAACACATCCCACATCCTGAAGAAGACAAAAAGAAGCCATCAGAAATGTTCTCATTATCTGAGCAGAGTGGTGCACACCTTTAATCCCAGCACTGCGGAGGCAGAGGCAGAAGGATCTCTTGAGTTCCAGGCCAGCCTGGTCTCACTCTGTAGAGTGAGTAGAATAGCCAGAGCTGCACACAGGAAACCCTGTCAGAAGAAGACAGAGGATGCGGGGGGAAGTGGACAAACAAACAAGAAAGCCCCCCTTGTCAATTGTAAAAACCCCAAACCGTTTCCTAAAACAGTCACAGTTTCCTCGTTTGCTCAGAGTGTGGGCTGACCAGGCTCAGCAGAGTAGTTCTGTTCAGGGTCTCGTGCAGCTGTGCTGAAACAGCTGCTGGAGCTGGAGTCGCACACGCAGAAAAGAGCTCACACGCACGTGTCCCTGCCAGAGCCTGGAAAAGCCAAGCGGCAGGTGCTAATCTGTGTGTCCTCTCTGTGTGCACTCCCGGTCTCTGAGGGAGCTCGAGTCACCTGGCAGCTGCAGTTCCCACAGCCAGTGTCCCACACGACACTGGCAGAAATCCCACTCGGTGCCTTCACTGCATTATTAGTGGTGATTTGTTGAGGCAGCGACAAAAGCCTGGAAGGCTGAAGGAGAATCCGGGAGTCATGGACCAGCCTCTTGGACTTTCTGTGAGTTTGAAATGAACTGATCGTTTTGGAGGACAGGCTTCCAGATAAGCGTTGGGAGCTGTATGTACAGGACTGCCCCTCTCATGATAACAAGAGCCAAGTGCCTAGGTTATCAGCCCTGAAAACCAATGATGTCACATTCTGAGGAGGACAAATCATACAGTAAGACAGCGTCTGTTTTGATCCCATGTTGCAGAGGCACGGGAGCAAGGATTAAGAGATGTGAACCTGTTACGTGTCTGTACATACTGGAAAATCCGGAGGATGTTCTAAAAGATTAACATTGTCTGTGGTGTGGTGTGTGTGTGTGTGTGTGTGTGTGTGTGTGTGTGTGTGTGTGTGTGTGTGTGTTTTCTGTTGTTCCGTTAGGGGGGTGTTGTTTATTTAGTTTTAATCCATTACTCAAAACCAGAAATAGCACAATACTCTTATTTTGATTTTGATTTTTTTTTTTTTTTCTGACAAAGGGTTTCTCTCTGTAGCTCTGACTGTCCTGAAACTAGTTCTGTACACCAGACTGGCCTTGAACTCACAGAGGTCCACCTGCCTCTGCTTCCCAAAGGCTAGGATTAAAGGTGTGCTGTACCACCACCTGGCTTAATGCTCTTATTTTGAAAATAAATAAATAAATAAATAAATAAATAATACAATAGAAAACTCTCTCTATAAATGACATCCTCTAAATTTTTTCTGATTTACTTTCTTCGTTATACAATAGTTATTTTTAAACAAATGTTTGGCAGTTTAAAAAAGGAAACATTTAAATACATAAAAGCCTGCTTCCCGAGACATACAATGGTCAGTAAGGCTCAACTGGGTGAGTAAAGGAGCTTGCCACCAAGCATGATGACTTAGTTATATTTACTTAGTTACATTTACTTAGTTACATTTCCAGGACCCAGGTGTTGGAAGGCAAGAACCACCTCCTGCAGACTGACCTTGCACACGTGCGGTGCATGACCGTACACACTTTATAAATAAATGTAGCTTTTTTTTTTTTTTTTCAGAGGAGGCAGAGGACTAGAGAGATGATTTCATGGTTAAGAGCAAATACTGCTCTTTCCGATAACCCGAGTTTAGTTCCCAGCATTCATGTTGGTCAGTTCATAGCCTCCTGTAACTCCTGCTCCAGAGGATCAGGTACCCTCCTCTGACCTCTGTGGACACCTGTACTAACATGCACATACCACACAGAGACACACATACACATAACGAAAATTAAAATAATCTTTAAAAAAATAACATAAATCTCTTCAAAAAGAGAGAGAAAATATGGCTTCATTTTACCCTAAAAGAGGAACATTTCCCTGGCTTGCTTGAATTTCCTCCCGGCACCCTCTGCTCCAGCTCTCTACATTCACACTCGCTTCTGCCTGGGATAGTCTTCTTTTGACTACTACAGAAAAACAAAGGATTCTGGCCAAAATAATGCCTGATTCTGCTTCCAAATCCTTCCTGATTTCGAGCCTAGATGTTTGGCAGCCTAAAATTGTTCTGTCCTAATATATAATTAAAGTCGTTTATGTTATTATGAGAGTAAAAAGCATATTAGCGACTGTTCACAGTTTGCATTGTAAATCTCAAATTATTTGTGTCCTGGGCGAGCTGACTAATAGACATTTGTTCCACGTCATTTTCCTGACAGAAGAACTCATCCCGGCTTCCTCCTGGGCCCTTATCCTGTGCTCCTTATCTTTATTAGAGAGGGATTTAAAACTTCTTTGGGCCATGGAAATGTACACACATGCGCCCACCCCCTGTCTTCACTGCCTTGGACTGGCCCTGGTCTGCCTCTCACCAGGAGCCTCAGGTTTTGCTTCTCAGAGCTATGTCATCCTCCCCCAGGGCTCCTTAGAGATGCTCATCTCTGCCCCACCCCAGGCCTGCTGAATCACAAGCTTCCAGGGGTGGAGCCCAGCAGTATGTCCTGACAAGTCACCCCGATAAGACAAGCCAGTGTCTGAGGGCCTTCTCTTCGAGATGGGGTGCTCTTGCTCCTGACTCCCAGCCTGGAATACTCCCTAGAATTCTTGGAGTAACCGTCCCTCCTGGATGCTTGCACAGCAGACAGAGATGAGTATTTATAGGTCCACGTAACAGCTGGCCCTGTGGGCCCTGGCTGATCTTGGTGCTGAACATTTCCTCTAACGTCTGTGTCATGGCCTGTGGTTTTTCTCAACGGAAACTTCCTGCTCTTGATCAGCACTGTGACCGTGCTCCTGTGAACTCACCTCTCCGACTGTAGCCCCTTCGCGTCTCCTTTGGGATCCCCTGTCATTCCCGGTGTTGACCTCTCGCGTGACAGGTGGGAGAGGGGCTTGGGTCTTAATTAAAGTCAGAGGCACAAATGGCAGCCTAAAACACATTTGGGTTTGTACAACTCACGTGAGGGTGAAAAGAAACTTGACAACATTTCTGATTATTTTTCTCTGTTTTTTCCTTTGTTGTTGTTAAAAAACAAACATAGTGTGGGTATTAACCTCATTGTTTGGAAATTTTAAAGAGATTCTGGGGTGGGTTTGTGTGTGTGTGTGTGTGTGTGTGTGTGTGTGTGTGTGTGTGTGTGTGTGTGTGTGTTTGTGTGTGTTGTTTGGCTTTGTTTTTGTTGTTGTTGTTGTTGTTGTTTGGGTTTGGCTTGTCTGTTTGTTTTGCTTTGTTTTTCAGAGACAGGGTTTCTCTGTGTAGCCTTGGCTGTCCTGGAACTCACTCTGTAGACCAGGCTAGCTTCACACTCAGAGATCCACCTGCCTCTGCCTTCCAAGTGCTGAGATTAAAGATGTGTGGTGTGTGCCTCCACCGCCCGGCTGTGTTGGGCTTTTTTAATTTTAGATATTATTATTATTGTGCACTTAGGGATCAAAGGGCAATTTTGGAGTCATTCTCTCCTTCTACCTTTTTACATGTTTTCCTTCTCAAACTCAGGCTGAGTCACCTTCCCAGTCCTGTTTTGACTTGGGGTCTTACCTTTAACTCGGGCAGACCTTAAACACACATCAGTCCTTTTTCTCTGCTTCCTGAGTTTTTAATGCTCCTGGTGTGTATCATGCCTGACTGTGTGGTGTATGCTCCTCTATCACTCTCGAGTATTCCTGTGAGGCAGGGTCTCTCCCTCAACCTGGGGCACGTGTATTTTTGCTACGCCAACAACCTGGAAACCCCAGAGATCCTCTTGTCTCTCTGTGCACAACACACACAAATGTACACACAGCAGTGGAGAGTCCAGAGCACCATGCCCACATTTTACTTGAATTCCAGGACCAGAACTCAGCGCCTTATGCTTGTACAAGTGCTCTTGCCCACTGGGCTGGCTCCCCAGCCCTCTGGATGATTTTTTATTTACTTATTTATTTATTTATTTATTTATTTGCTTATTTACTTGGTTTTGTCAAGACAGGGTTTCGCTGTATAGTTTTGGTGCCTGTCCTGGATCTCGCTCTGTAGACCAGGCTGGCCTCGAACTCACAGAGATCAGCCTGCTTCTGCCTCTCAAATGCTGGAATTAAAGGCGTGTGCCACCACTGCCCGGCTGGCTTATTTTTTAAATAAAAATATTCATAATAAGATTGGGCTGCTGGCCATGGTGCCATCACCTTGTTCCAGCCCAGTCTGGGCTACAGAAGACTCATCTCAAAAAAAAAAAAAAAAAAAAAAAAAAAAGAATTAGGTAAATGAGTGAAATGGATCAGGGAGAAGTTCATGGAGGAAATGAGTCTTCTGATCTTTATCTGCAGTAGTGCACAAAGCCAAAGTTCATGGGGAAGGGCCAGGAGCACTTTCCAGATGAGTGGGAAGAGAGGCCCCAGCTAGACCCTCATGCCAGGCCGATGAAGAAGCAGGTTGCCTGGTGTCCTGTGTCTAAAACGTGCTGCCCTTGACCATTTGTTTAGCCTATGGCATTCCATTGAAAGACGGAGGTGAACAAACCGATGAAGAAGCGGAGGGGCCATTCTCCGACGACGAGATGGTGACTCACAAGGGGCTGCGGCGATCCCAGAGCATGAAGTCTGTCAAGACCATCAAAGGCCGCAAAGAGGTCAGTGTGCAGCGGGGAATTATTTTCCTAACGATCTGTGGGAGGGATTTCCTTCTACTTTGTCATTAATGATATCAAATGACCAGTGAATGAAGGATTCCAATCAGAGGACAGCATTGTAATTGAAATTCTTTATTAAAAGCAGGTGTGTTAGGGACATTTCCTCCCCCTGGAAATTTTGAAATAGGAAAGTCCTTATTTTGTGCTCTATATAGAAAGTGGCATTTCCACCTAGCAAACCCCACAGTTACTGTGACTGTCTGTTGCTGCCCTCTATATAAGCAAGGAAAGCTGCTAACAGAATTAACTACATAGTGTTGCTTTCAACAAGTCATACATGATAATTAAATAGTAGATATATACCTGCCGTCACACGGTGTCATTGCGCTAAGGCTCACTTACTGACATTGTACTCAGCCAAATGTAAATAATAAGTCAGTGTTTTCATCCGTGATTGGGAATGTCCTGTGTACTGCCTACACCCATCACATCACCAGCTACGTTTCTGTGGGTGTTCTTAGTAAGGTTGTAACTTGCAAGGGCATTGCTTGGATGGGTGGTGCTTTGATGGTTTGATTTGGGTGCTGTACTGGCATTTGAACCAAGGGCCCCATGAAGGCTTTGCAAATATTATACTCCTGAGCCACGTTCCCAGCGCCTTTTATTTTGAGACTGGGTCTCAATAAGTTGCCCAGACTGGCGCAGAGCTCCTGTGTGGCCCAGGTAGATCTTGAATTAGAGTCCTCCTGCCTCGTCTCCCAAGAAAGTTGATGTTTTGTGTCAGAAGAGTGAAACAAGTACTATGACGATGAACTATTAAAACCTACCTACTTTAAAAAATTAATCAGTCTGTTTGGTTTTGTTTGTTTTAGTTTAGGTTAGTTTTTTGTTTTGTTGTGTTTGTTTGTTTGTTTGTTTGTTTGTTTGTTTGTTTTTTCCAGACAGGGTTTCTCTGTGTAGTTTTGGTGCCTGTCCTGGATCTCACTTGGTAGACCAGGCTGTCCTTGAACTCACAGAGATCCACCTGGCTCTGTCTCCTGAGTGCTGGGATTAAAGGCGTGCGCCACCACTACCCAGCTGGGTTACCTCTTATTAATACTAATACTTTTCTTTCTTTAGGTGCGGTATGGTTCCCTGAAATATAAAGTGAAGAAGAGACCACAGGTGTATTTTTAGCGTCTACACCTCACCTATCTGAAGACAAATAATCCTAACAAATCAACTTCATTTTCTAACTCAATATATTCAGGACTTATACTTTAAATCTTCCGATTGTGGCAATGATGGGATTTACTTTAATAACATTAAATAGTTCGTTTCTTTAACAATTACTTTTAGATATTAACTGCTAAATGTAGTTGTGTAAGGTTTATTAATGTGCATGTATATAACAACAGTTACAGAGAATCATGTTACCTGATTTCATCAGCAACATTGAGTGTCTGGGATCTAAGGGTAAAACATAGACCCAGGGTATACTTGAAAAGTCTCTGCTTCAGGATACACCTTGCCCTTCTGGTGTCGCATTGTGTTTACGCCCATCCATGCCACCCACATCTGTCACAGGAAAGTGGTGACAGCCACTGAGCAGCCAGTGTTGTGACAAAGACATACTGTAAGGTGGTGACATGTCCCTTACATAAGCCTTGGAAGCTTTCCATCATGAGCTGAAAGGTTTTGAAACAGATATTTGAAAACCAGGTGTCCACATAGCACTTTCCTGGCTGGTTTTGCACACTTGAAAATTGTTTACTTATTTTATGACTGTACATTTACTTTAAATTGTATCGATGCTGTCTTTTTTGTTGTCTGTGATGTTCTGACATGTCCAAATTACGCTTTGAAATGCATCATCTCCTTTTCCTACTCATTTGTTAAATTCATTTGATTTATAGTAGGGACACATAGCTAACTCCTACTAAATTTTTACTTTTTGTTTTGCTTTTTGAGATAAGGTCTCTTGTGGCCCAAGGGTGGCCTTGAACCCCTGATTCTCTTCCTGCTTCCACCTCACAGTTGCTGGGATGACAGGTGTATATTATCACACCTGACTAATTTTAACTGTTTTTTAATTATATTCTTAACATCTAAGAAGTAATTAACATTAATCAGTTTCCATAGTTGAATGTGATGTGTTTTTATCAACAACAATTATGTTATTTTAGGTTTTAAAAAATAGCTTTTGCAGAAGAGAGTCAAGACCAGTGTAGCACTTGGTTTTTTCTTTTGTAGGGTTTTTTGTTTTGTTTTTTGTTTTGTTTTGTTTTGGTGGCAGGGTTAGAGACAGGGTTTCTTTGTGTAGTCTTGGTTATCCTGGAACTAGCTCTGTAGACCAGGATGCTTTGAACTCACAGAGATCCACCTGCCTCTGCCTCCCGAGTGCTGGGATTAAAGGTGTGTGCACGACTACACTCAGTGTTTTCTGACTCATGGAACTGCCCAGTGACCACATCTCGTTCTCGAGCTTGGCAGAGGCAGAGCTGCCTTACAGACCCGACGGTGACTGAAGTCATCTGAATCTTCTTCTGGCTGAGTTTGTTCCCTAAAGATGAGCGTCAGGATAAAGCACAAGGACAGTTGATGCTACGTAGCAAAGGCTCACAGACAGAGACCACCTTTCAGTGTAAGAGATTTAGAGGGATTGAACTCGGAGGCTCTTTGGATTTGCCCTACTAACTGCATGGTGAACCCTAAATCAGTGTATCTGGGGTGATGGATAACCAAAACTTCGATAATCAAACAAAATCTACTTGGGAGTGTCTGAGTGTCATTCATACATGACCTCTAGATGCTACTCTGAATATCTCCCAAACTGACTCACATTCTTAATATTGAGCACCAAATAAAAATTCAATTATTTTCCCCAAATTTAATCTTGTATCTCCATCTGCTTTGCTTTGACTCATAGCCTCTTTGTTACTAGAAGAATTCTTCAACTTCTGTTCAGACATCCATCATAAGTTATTGGAAAGAGCGTTATTTATTTTGCCTGGCCCTGTCCTGCTCTGTACAAAGGCCATGCTGTGTGCTTGGTTTCCCGGCCAGAGGCAGTGTTACCTGATAAGACCATTGGATAAGTAAGTTACTCTGTCTCCATGGTCACTGATTGACACCATATTATCTTCTAGAAATCCAGTTTCTGTATTACACCTGCCCTTTGGAACTACTGATTGGTGCCATGCTTGACATAGGCAAGACCCTGAGTTCAATCCCTGAATCAAAAAAGAAAATTAGTTAAAACAAACTTACCCATCTTTTAAGGAATTCATATACTATTTGTTCTCTCTCTCTCTCTCTCTCTCTCTCTCTCTCTCTCTCTCTCTCTCTCTCTCTCTCTATCTCTCTCTAGTTGTTGTTTTGTGTGGAGCCCTGGCTCTCCTGGAACTCACTCTGTAGACCAGGATGGCCTCAGGCTCACAAAGATCCACCTGCCGCTGCCTCCCAGGTGCTGACATTAAAGGTGTGTGACACCATGCCCAGCTTGTTTTGTTTTGAGACAAGGTCTCCCTCTAGCTAGCCTGAAACTCACTAGGTAGCCCAGGCTAGCCTCAAATTTGTGGATACTCTTCATGCTTCTGCCTTCTAAGCGCTGGGATTTCAGGTGTGTACCACCACACCCTGTTTCATGGACTTTTTAAATTGGCAGAATTACTAATTGGGAGAATCAAAATGCCCAAACAAAGACACCACCTGACTCAGAACTAATGCTTGCTGTCCTGTTCTGTTCTCATCCCCGGCCCATGCTTGGGCATATCCCTGATGGTGACATGCTTAATAAACTTGATACCATCTGTCCCCACAGTCATATGTCATAGCAGGGTCCTTTTCTTTGAACTTTGTATATGGAGAAATAAAGGGCTTATTTGTTTTGTTTTGTTTCTTTTAAGGAGAAGCAGTTCATGTCATTAGTTTCTCTGCTTTTGAGGCTGCTGATTTTTTTAATTTTTTAAGTTGTAAATTTATTCATAGACCACAGTGCCTTGACTTACCCCACTGCTGATTGGGGCACCAGCATGCAATGCACAAACTTGTTTAGGGCACTGTTTGTCTGCCTTTTGGCGTTTATCCAAAAATTATAGCCTACTAGTATTTTATCTGACTAGCCAGTCATTCCGTGGGATCACTAATACTTAACTATTCCCCATATTTAACTATTGTTTAGGCATAAGAATTGATATAGTCTACATGTCTCTTTTCTTTTTTCCTTTCTGGTATCGAAAGGAGCCACAAGTACAGCCAGAGAGATAGCTCAGTGTTTTAAGAATGCATACTGCTCTTACAAAGGACCCAGGTTCAGTCCTTAGCACCTCTACCTGGTAGGTCGTTCACAATTGCCTGCAACTCCAGCTCCAGGGAATACGATACTCTTCTGACTTCCAGGCACATCTGCATGCATGTGAACATACTGACGCACAGATATACATACGTACGCATAATTTAAAATAAAAAAAATCTGTGAAAAACAAAAAGGAACCAGCAGTAAGCTGATTGCTAAATGAGCAATTATATAAACCCACCTCACTCCCCAGCCAGACCCCGTCCACACACACCACCGTGTGTTTTAGATGGCTAAAACGACGAGATCCTGCCGCCACTGATGGAAAGAAAGACTTCACTACATGGATGGAGCAGAGCTGTCTACTCACGGGTTTTCAGGGATCTCATTCCGTGTGTCACCACCAAAGACTTCCACAGTGTTATAAAGCATGTAAATACTCTAAAATTCTGTCAAACATTGGCTAAATGTATCCTCTTTCTTTTCTGTACTTTTGGGGAGATGCCTGAACCTTTATGGTATTACTATAATGTCTTATATTAACTGTAAGTGTTTTTTAATTGTAATGGGCTAATTTTTCATTGAATATCTTTCATTGGGGAAACTAAGGAGATCTCAGTAGATCTAAATATAGAAATCTAAATACAGATTCCAAAGCTGTTTCTTCTGTCCTCTCCTTTTTAGGTTGACTTATTTGTGAAATAGGCGAATTTTGAGAAGATTGTGGCTTTATGGTTTGTAGTATTTCTTAAGAAATATACCCTAAGGTTAAAGTTCTTAGAAAAGAAAATACCTTTTTCCCTAAGAACTTTTAAGACGTAGTCTTTTAGGGGTGCTCTGCAGATTGACCCTTTTTGTATATTGTATATCAATCCTTTTTGAGTGTTGACCCTGACTTAACATTTTTTTCTTCTAATATTTTTTTAACTCTGTGTACTTTAATACTTTAAGCAAGAATAACTTTATAAGATCTCTTTGTTAAAGCTATCCTTAAGCCCCGTACATGGGTGACTCTGCAAATGTATTTTGCGAATTTTTACAATAAAGTAAACTCATTACGTTAGTGGCAGTTGGGTATTTCTTTATGTGTCGGCGTACATGTGTTGAACTCTATGAATGTTCTTTGTTATTCAGCATGTCCTGATTTAGTAACAGACGACATCTATGTCCTTCAGATTGCGTTGGCAGAACAAATCATGATGATGGTCACTTTCTGGAAAGCTTGTCATAGGCTGAGGAAGGCATCCTGGGTGGTGGAGTCTGGATGCTAGACAGAGAAGCAGGGGAAACAGCACAGGAACTCTGTCACAAGGCATCGGCTGGCAGTCGGCAGCGTAGTCTAACGGAACATTCGGATTTCTGTATCCTGGAAGTGTTCTGGAGTTCCGTCTGTGTGAGAGTCTGTGTCTGCTTCACATTTAAAGATAAATCCTGTCTTAAAAGCTCCCTTGCTTTGTTTCATTATGATATGCAATGTATGTTCCCGTGTTTTCAGATAGCATTGAAAATGGACTTACAGTTTTCAGCCTTGGTATGAGACATATGCTTGCCATGACCAAGGAGGGCTATAAATTAAAGTAGAAATTCAGAAGAACACAGTGAGCTTGTGAAGGACTTTAATGGTGTTTGTTTTTTCCTTGGGGTTTTCTTTTTCCCTTGAAGTAGTTCACTGTTCTTACAGAGCTGTGTGGAACAAAAACCACGTCAGAGATGTGTTATTCCTGGAAAATATTCTGCTCTTCTACCTGCTCATCAATATATGCTAGGCTTGAAGCCTCCTCTGAGTGTCCTAGAGTAGGCCATGTTTTTAAATTCCTTTTTAAAGTGGAACAGGCTTTTCGTCTCATCACTGGAGGCGGAGGCAGGGCGATCTCCCAAGTTCAAGGTCAGCCTGGTTTACCTAATAAGTTGTAGGCCAGCCAGGGCTCCATAAAGAAACCCTGTCTAAATAAACAAATTGCTTTTTTTTAAAGACAATTCTTCAAGTTGGAATTTTAAAGCATGTGATTGATATTTTACCTGTTCAGTGATTTAGTAAAGAACTGTGCCCAACCACAGGAACCGTAGGCACCAGGCGTACAATGTGGTGTGCATCCGTACATGCAAACAAAACACTCATAACATAAAGTAAATTAAAAAAAAAAAAAAAATAGGGCCGGGCAGTGGTGGCAGCGCACACCCTCGATCCCAGCACTGGGGAGACAGAGGCAGGTGGATCTCTGTGAGTTGGAGGCCAGCCTGGTCTACAGAGTGAGTCCAGAACAGGCTCCAAAGCTACACAGAGAAACCCTGTCTGGGGGGGGGGGGGGGGGGGGGAGGAAAGGTGCCATGTCTTTGTTTACCCAAGGATGTCATAGTAAGAAAGGGAAGAAGACCAGGCATGCTGATACACACCGTTAATCCCAGCACTGGGAAGCAGAGGCAAGCCTATCTCTACATTGGAGGCCAGCCAGGACTGTATAGTGAGACCCTCCAAGTATGGTACCTTGTTATTATATGCTAATCAAGTTGCCTTCGCTTCATATATATATATATATATATATATATATATATATATATATCCAGGAACATAACATCAATTGCCCAATTT